AACTTTTCTTCTGAGATACCAGACTATTTCTTAGTGTTCTCTTTGAACAGTAGCTAAATCATCAAGTTTGGGGTATCCAAACAAACCGAACAACCATCCTTTATCCTCAGCCACCAGCAAAAATAAAAGGCTCTACAGTAAACTATTTCTTTAAGTGCTTAATCCTCAATTACTTGGTGCTGGGTCTTGTAATCACCAGGAATCATTCCACACATGGTATCTTTTTTATTATTTTTACTTTTTTAGAGACAGGATCTCGTTCTGTCCCCCAGGCTGGAGTGCAGTGGCACCATCATAGCTCACTGTAACTTCAAACTCATAGGCTCAAGGATCCTCATGCATCAGCTTCCCAAGTAGCTGGGACTATAGGCATGCACACCACACTTGGCTAATTTTTCTTATTTTTTGTAGAAACAGAGTCTCATCATGTTGCCCAGACTGTTCTTGAACTTCCTGGCCTCAAACGATCTTCCACCTTGGCTTCTCAAAGTGCTGGGAATTTAGGCATGAGCCACCACGCTCAGCCCACAGCTGGTATCTTAATATCAGAGTTCAAATGACTTAAAACTTGCTTTCTAACACTTGCTTCACTTTTGACAACTTTCTTCCCAGTGCTTTGAAATTCCTTGACTCCGTGTTAGTTCAAGTCTGCAGAGAAGCAGATGCCAACAGAGACTAGATGTGTACTCATTTATTAGATAAGGGAAGAGAAGGCAGGGTAAACGTTCATATTGTGATTGCAGGTCTGACTCCAAGGAATGTGAGAGGGAAGGAAGGAGGATTGGGTAGGAACTAAAGTCTTAAACTGCAACAAAATCCAAAAAAGTTCAGCCGACCAATAGGAATCCTTGAGCCAAAACGCCTTTGGAGTTCTGTGTGTCACCAGAATGGGCCGCCTTAGTACCCCCTATCATGCTAAGTCATTGGCTAGGAGCACCTGCAGGAAGTGCAGCCTTGAAATAAACATAGTGGGGTGATTCAGAGGACAGTAGCTGGATACATGTTACACTCCCCAAAACTAGAGATTTGGCCACACCTCCACTGTCTTTAGGCTGCATCTATCCCATGTGAAAGACACTGAATGTCGGATTAATTTCTACTCTACAATTAACGGAGATCACTCAAATGCACAAACCTAAAGTCATCCCCTTTCTAACCGTTATTAATCTAATCATCCATATTCTGCATTGCTCCACTCCTACTATTGAAGGAAATGATACAATAGTACAGAGTAGTGAAACCACTATAAATTTGGTTTCTAAATTTGGAGCTAGAATCCTCCCTTAACTTTCTGATTGCCCACAGCAGTTACTACAATCTTTTTCCTTCTCAAGTCCTCTTCCACTGTCAGAAGTAACGCTGCCTATTATTTCTTAGATAATATACACACTTGTTGGGCATTAATTTATGTTCATCCCCTACTTATAGGAAATCAGACCATCCATACTCAGCTTCTTTTATCTAAACATAAAGATGCTTCTAGAATCTTCCAAGGAAAAAAAAAAACATAAAAGGTGTTTCTCTGGTTTTTTGACTGCATCCCTTTTCCTTAAACCATGTCCCTTCTAGCTGTATTTAAAAGCCTTCTCTGCTGACTTCATTCTTATAACTTACTTTTTTTTTAGTTTAGAGATGGCGTCTCAATATTTGCCCAGGCTGGGGTGCAGTGGGCCTCTTCCCAGTCACTATCATATCACTAGCTCACTGCAGCCTGAAACTCCTGGGCTCAAGCAATCCTCTCACCTCAGCCTCCAGAGTAGCTGGGACTATAGGCATGTGTCACTGTGCCTGGCAATAATCTAGTGACATTTTTTTTTTTTTTTGAGACAGAATCTCACTCTGTTGCCAGGGCTAGAGTGCCATGGCGCCAGCCTAGCTCATAGCAACCTAAAAGTCCTGGGCTCAAGCGATCCTTCTACCTCAGCCTTCCGAGTACCTGGGACTACAGGCATGCGACACCACGCCCAGCTAATTTTCTGTATATTTTTAGTTGCTCAGCTAATTTCTTTTCTACTTTTTTTTAGTAGAGACGGGTCTCACTCTTGCTCAGGCTGGTCTTGAACCTCCTGACCTCAAGTGATCCTCCCACCGGTCGCTCCCAGAGTGTAGGTTTACAGGTGTGAGCCACTGCGCACGGCTAACATTTTCAAATGTCTTTTAAAAAATTAAACTAAAGAAACAAAGGAAATAAAGGATCTCTTAATCCTTGTTTTCTTTCCCTTCCAACTGTTATCATGAGAGAAGTCATCCTCAACTCACCACTAGAATCCTGTCCCTTGCCTCTTTGAAACTGACCTACTCTTAATCGTTAATTGTAATGGACAATACATTTCTAGTTTATTTAATCTCTCCAGAAGCTTTGAACATTCTTGACGTCTCTAGGTTTTTACTATGTAACAAGAAAGCTAACCTTAATTTCACATTCTTGGGGCACCTTACTACTACTTACAACTACCTACATATATTATACTTCATCCATTTACATTTCAGTGAACAGACAATTGTAAATTTCTTTCTTTTTTAAAAAAATTTAGTTTCTTGAATACAGAATAATGAGAGCACAAAGAGGCTCTGGCTACCTGTAATGGGAAATAGAAGATAATATACTTTACTAACATTTATAGCTTCTTCTGCTCTGCCAACTTCTCTAAGCCTTTTTTTTTTTTTTTTTTTTTTTGAGACAGAGTCTCACTTTGTTGCCCAGGCTACAGTGAGTGCCCTGATGTCAGCCTAGCTCACAGCAACCTCAAACTCCTGGGCTCAAGCGATCCTCCTGCCTCAGCCTCCTAAGTAGCTGAGACTACAGGCGTGCGCCACCATGCCCGGCTAGTTATTTCTATATATTTTTAGTAGGCCAATTAATTTCTTTCTATTTATAGTAGAGATGGGGTCTTGCTCTTGCTCAGGCTGGTTTCGAGCTCCTGATCTCGAGCAATCCGCCTGTGTCGGCCTCCCAGAGTGCTAGGATTACAGGTTTGAGGCACCACGCCCGGCCTAAGCCTTCTTTTGTTTTGTTTTGTTTTTGAGACAGAGTCTCACTCTGTTGCCCAGGCTAGAGTGAGTGCCATGGCGTCAGCCTAGCTCACAGCAACCTCAAACTCCTGGGCTCAAGCAATCCTGCTGCCTCAGCCTCCCGAGTAGCTGGGACTACAGCCATGCGCCACCATGCCCGGCTAATTTTTTCTATATAATTAGTTGCCGAATTAATTTCTTTCTATTTTTAGTAGAGATGGGGTCTCACTCTTGCTCAGGCTGCTTTCGAACTCCTGACCTTGAGCAATCTGCCTGTCTCGGTCTCCCAGAGAGCTAGGATTAAAGGCGTGAGCCACTGCACCGGGCCCTAAGCCATCTTTTTTAAGAGACAGCATCTGGCTCTGCAGCCCCAGGCTGGAGTGCGCTGGTGGGATCATGCTCACTGCAGCCTGGAACTCCTGGGCTTAACAGATTCTCCTGCCTCAGCCTCCTAAGTAGGTGGGACTACAGGCATGTGCCACCACACCTATTTTTAAAAATTATTTTTTGTAGAGATGGGGGCAAGGGTGTGTGTGTCTATGTGTCTTGCTGTGTTGCCTACACTGGGCTCAAGCTCCTAGCCTCAAGCGATCCTCCTGCCTCGGCCTCCCCAAGTGTTGGGATTACAGATGTGATCCAGCACACCTAGCCCTTTCTTAATTAACTCATGTACTCCAAAAAAATAAACTTGAGATAAGATGACATTACTAATTTAGAAACCAAGGCCTCTTGAAACTTAGCACTTTTTTTTTTATTATTTATTTTGGCATATTATGGGGGTACAGATTTTAAGGTTTCAATAAATGCCCATTTCCCCCCTCCCCCCACAAGTCTGAGTCTCCATCATGACCATCCCCCAGATGGTGCACATCTCACTCATTATGTATGTATATACCCGCCCCCCTTAGCACTGTTTTTGATCAAGTCTATACAGTAAAACAGATGTTTTATAAAGACTAATAGGGCAGTGATAAACAAGATGGGTTGGATGAGAAAAGAGAGGTAGTTAGGATGATTCAGAAGAAATCCAGGCTTAAGGCACAGGGTTAGGGAGGAAACAGCGGGAAGACCGAATGACATTATAAAGATTGAGCAAATTATTTAACAGCAAAATAGGAATTATAAGAGAAAGAAAGGAATTCAGAATTTCTAGCCAGATTAAACTGTAAACCAATGACAACAGTAGGGAAGTCAGGAAAACCTTGTTTGGCTACGTGCTACTTATATAAAACATGCCCTACAGACAGTTACTTAGTACTAACATGCCTTAGGTAGTCTGAAATGTCATAATAGCAAACAAACCGGAGATTAGATATATCTCAGCTAAAATCTAGAAGCTTCTTCAATGATCCAAGAAAATATTTTTAACTTTGAAAATATGTACTATTATGCATCAATAAAAAAAAATTTAGGGCTGGGTACACTGGTTCACACCTGCAATCCCCAAGGTTTGGGAGGTCAAGGCAGGAAGATCACTTGAAGCCAGGAGTTCGAGAACAGCCTAGGCAATATAGCAAGACCCTGTCTCTAAAAATATATTTTATTAGAAGCAAGACTTGTCAGTAAAAAAAATAAAATAAAATAAAAAATAAATAAATAAAAATATATTTTAAAAAATTAGGCAGTTGTGGTGGTGTATGCCTGTCGCCCCAGCTATTTGGGAGACTGAGGCAGGTGGATTTTATGAGCCCAGGAATTTGAGGTTACAGTGAGCTGTGATTACACCACTGTACTCCAGCCTCAGCCACAGAATAAAACCCCATCTCTTAAAAAAATTCATTTAACTCCATTTAGGCTCCCATAAAGATGGAACTTCAGATGAATTTTCTTGATGGAATAAAAATGCAAGAGACTTGTAAGTAATAAAGTTTGAATTATTCACTTAAAATACATTGACTACATATGACAACTAAAAGTGAGTAAACTAGGGTCGATTTAATGTTTTATTAGACATTTAGAGGCAAAAAAAACCCACAAAATCTTATTACTTAAAATATTTTAATTTCTAAAAAATTTTAAATCATATTAAAATTTAATATTTTCATTATACAGTACTTGATAATACATTTCAACTAACTGAAAGGTAAAACAAACCCCTTATATCAGTTTTGTTTACTTTCTCAGCTTAATAATATATAGACTCTTTTGCCCACAGGATGTAAAAATCAGCAATGATGAAAGTGGAATATTTAATACAAGGTAAGATGTTTGGCCAAAGCATTTTAAAAAACAAACTAAATCTCAACTGGAAACACTCTACAACAACCAGTATGTTTACAGAATATAATAATTTGAAACAAAACAAATTCAATTTGACCATGTCCACAATTAAAGCTTTGATTTTATTCAGTTGTGAATAAAATTATTTCATCCAATATACCAATATAGCAACTTCAGAAGAAATGATCTGCCTAGTCTGTAATACAAGAAGTTATCTTCTGTTGAAAGGATGTGAGCTTTTCAGATTTAGTCCTTTTTCATTTGTGTCATAATTTCCAAATAAACCGTTGCAGCTAATATATCTTGAGAGTCTACTTCCCTGGAGGGTTTGTGTCACCCATGCTGTCATCATATAGCCATTTATGAACATAATCTTTGGAGCACTCTATAGTTTCAAAAAGGCGTTTAAAGTCTTGAGGGTGCATATTAGTTATTTTAGCTTTTTCACTTTTTCCTATTTGCATCAATACATCCATTGCATCAACTGGAGTCAAACAACTGCAAAAGAAATACAAAGTAAGTGTGCTTAATTGTTTTTTCATATAATTGTCAGTTAGTGTTGATAGACATTGCTTCTAAACCCAATTTAAAATGCCTAACTTATTATATATATTAAACTTACTTAAGAGCTTGCAATAACCTTATGTTAATTCCTAAAGTTTCATGACTAACCTATAATGAAAATAGCAGATTTAGGCTTTAACACCATCTAATCAATTCTCACACAAAAATCTAGTCTAATTATTGCCCTTTATAAAAGATCTTCTGCCTACTTCTTTCTTCCTTTTACTTTCTGAAAAAAATATTCTTAACTACATTTCAGTTCATATAAAAGTTCACTAAGTACAAAATAGCAGAAGTTGCTGTATGGCAGTTTTCAAAGAGGGAATCATTTTTCACAGAACTACTGGTGAATGAATTATAAAGCAGCAAACCTCCTTATAGTCACACATCACTTAATGATGGGGATGTGTTCTGACAAATGCATCGTTAGGTGATTTCACTGCTGTTTGAACCTAGATGGTATAGCCTACTACATACCTAGGCCATATGGTATAGCCTATTGCTCTGAAGTACATCATATTACCATACTGAATACTGCAGGCAACTGTAACACAATGGTAAGTATTTGTGTATCTAAACAGAGAAGGTACAGTAAAAATATAGTATTATAATCTTATGAGACCACCATCATATATGTGGTTCATTGTTGACTGATATACCATTACATGATGCATGACTATATTATTAGCTTAGCAAGAAACCATCAATAAGCTTCTGACGATAAACAAACAACCATAATAAAATATTTTGGTGGGAGACAGTTTCAGTACTTCTTGATATTGAATAGAATCTTGGTAACATGTTTTCAATCCACAGAGATCTACAAGGGAACTTTTAATATTTTGCACTAAGAGTTGACCATTTGTTTCTTATTTTCCTATTTTCTTAATATTTTCACTCAAAATAGCTACCACTACAAAATGGCAAGAAAAATAGATTACTTTTACTGATCTATTGTTACTTTTAACATTTATTTTTACATACTGTCTAGTCAGCAGCTCAGAGTTATATATTAAACAATGATCAAATTAAAATAACTGTTTTAACATTTCAATATTTTGAATGACCATGAGCTGGTGATTACAAGGTGCAATCTACAACTTATAGTAACAGCAATTAATTTTTTTTTTAGAATTCTCTCTGTCTGTTGCCCAGGCTAGAGTGCAGTACAGTGGCATCATCATAGCATACTGCAACCTCAAACTCCTGGGCTCAAGTGATCTTCTCACCTCAGCCTCCCAAGTAGCTGGGACAACAGGCATGTGCCACAATGCCCAGCTATTCTCTTCTATATTTCCTAGAGACAGGGTCTTGCTATGTTGCTCAGACTGGTCTTGAACTCCTGGCCTCAAGCAATTCTCCCACCTGTGCATCCCAAAGTGCTCACATTAAAAGTGTGAGCTACTGCATCTGGCTAACAATTTTTATAAAGCTTTAGGTAAAAACATAAAATTTTGTCCAAGGCAAGAGAACCAGGGTAGTATAACAATCCATCCCTGCTTTGGTTAGGAAACGGAGCTACTAAAGATAGGCAATGACGGGTAGGTGGTGGGCATGCCTCCAGTAATGCAAAACTTTCTCCACTCCAGCTGGTGCTTCTTATAGGTTAAACCCGAGGCTATACTCTGACAAAGATAAAACGATTTGTAGGCACCCTTGGGTGTTGTTCAAAGAAGAAAAATAAATGCAGCTCAATGAGAGATTATGTGGAAAATATATTTTTCTCAAAATGTACACCAGGGAGAAAGAAGTGTTTTGATGAAATATGAGTGAAAACATATTTCACTCTGTAAATCAAGATGTGAAAAATAAACCTCTAACATGAAAGAATAATTCTTGCATTAAATTGCTACTTTTATACTTGCTTTTATTCTTTTTACTTACTGTAAGTGGTCTATTAGCCTGGCACCACGCTTCCCAAAACAGTGCTTTAACATGTGAAAAAATACATCATAGTTAATAGGCGTTAAGTTTTCCGTAAATAAACTTTTACGAGGTGTCATTCTAATAAAATACAGGTTTTGTTCTGTTGGGTTTAATGATTCCTGGAAAGAAGGGAAAGTAAACTGTGTTAGTCACAAAATATTGCCAGCATAAGACATTGTTCACTTATTCCTTCAAGTTACCTCTTGGAAGACATAATCACCACAGGCCCTGAGTATCTCTGGATTTTCTTATTGAGCATTCCAAGAAAGCAAAGCTCTAACTGCTCTTTACCAGGAAAAAGAACAGGCTTGCTTACTGTTCGCTATAAAAGAGGTGGATTCCCCCAGCTCTGTGTTCCTCAGCTGCAATGCAAACCCACCACATACAAGGCACCCAACTGAGCCATATCACGCCACTCCACGGGAAGGGGGCCAAATAAAGTCCCTGTTGGATCCAGGAGTCTCTGTTTTTGGCCAGCATCCAAGAAATAATAAAAGCTTGTTAACTTGTAAGTAGGGTAAAATCAAATCCCAAACATGACATTAACATGTACTGCTTCCCTGCTACATTTGAGACATAACACACCAGATCCTAAGGACAAAAAAAATGATTAACTTGAAATTTGTAATTGAATGTTTAAAAAGTAGAAAATCTTTTTAAACAACTTGGATAAACATGAAGCGAATGTGCTCTAGATCAATCATTTTAGAGCTTATATAGCCATTTTGAACATGCTGATATCTATGTCTAAATAAATAGAATTCTCTCATGAAACATGACATTTGGTTTTTTCATCTTCATCCCTAAAAGTTTTCTTTGAGACTGAGTCTCACTCTGTTGCCCGGGCTAGAGTGCCGTGGCATCAGCCTAGCTCACAGCAACCTCAAACTCCTGGATTCAGGCAATCCTTCTGCCTCAACCTCCCAAGTAGCTGGGACTACAGGCATGTGCCACCATGCCAGGCTAATTTTTTCTGTATATTTTTAGTTATCCAGCTAATTTCTTTCTATTTTTAGTGGAGACAGGGTCTCGCTCTTGCTCAGGCTGGTCTTGAACTCCTGAGCTCAAACGATTCACCCACCTCAGCCTCACAGTGTGTTAGGATTATAGGCGTGAGCCACCACGCCCGGCCCATCCCTAAAAGTTTGTGTATTTAAGTTGGCCAAAAGCTTTTTTAGCTTTTGAGCTTCTCATTCAAACAATAAGAAAGTGACTTATATACAGGACTGTTCATTTTAGAACATTAGGATAAGTCCCTAATAGCATCCAAAGCAAAAATGCCGTACTTCTATTTTTTTTGAGATTACATAAATTATGCTATATAAATAGTCAAATAGAACTAAAATCATAATGACTCATCACTCTAAAACCAGACCAATGAAAGAAAATTGATACTTTTCTTTTTCCTTTAGTGGCAAGAGTGAGAAAAAAGAAAGTAAGCAAGGAGGATCATCAGACTGAACTGCTATGCTGGGATTAGGCCATCATTAGCATTAAATTCTAAAGTGGAATTTCTGAACTGAGTCCTGAAGTTTTTTGTGAAACTTCAACTTCTTTATTAGAATTCCACAAATAGCTCTGAGATATACCTACTGGTGAATTGAACCATATAATATAATTAGCAATATTATAAATTTCTAATTAATAGGTTATAAAATTTTGATTTTAGTTTTTCAAATTTGGTGACTATTAAAGTGATTATATTTTCTAAATTTGAGATGTATCTTCATTTCAACAGAAATAAAAAGAGAAGAAAGATTCTCTGTTTAAGCCTACTACTATGCTAGATTGTATAACAACTCTCTTCCAAAATAATTTCAATTTATTAAAAGTAGTAGGATATGTTTAAAGAACATTTCTAGTTATTCTAGAATTAAAAACTTAAATAAAGAATACCCAATAATCCTAAAGAAACCTCCAAAGTTCCATTTAAGGGAAAAAAGGGAAAGGTATTCATTTATTCTTACCCTACACTTTGCCTTTTCCAGCTGTCCATTTTGGGTATACATGTCAAATGATGACAAAGGCTCCTTGGGAAGAAAAAAAAAAAAGAAAAACATTTCTTTTTACTTCTCTTTGGTCAAAGTGCCCCAAATTACAATTGCCTTAAAAAAAAAAAAAACACAGGATAGGTGAATAATATACAATATACATCTCCTTAATATTTTTAAGATAAAGAGAAGGGTCAAAGGTCTACTCCAATATTTAGACAAAGGTCTACTCTATGTTAGTCAGTCTTACTTAAAGGAGGTTACCCTTGATGTGATTGTACAAATAGGTTCTTAAGTTATAATCTTTGCTAGCCAACATTTCCATATTATAGTCAGAATCAGCAGTTTAAGGGCTATCAGATCAATACTGAAGATTGCTTTGCCCTGCCTTAGTGGAAAAGCCTATTAAACAAACTGACTTAAATATGTCAGGACATATAAGGAGATATACAAATAAAGACACGTCAATTTAAAAAAGGATCATTATTTTTTTGTACCTAACTTTTGTAACATAAAATTTTGTGTGTGAAGCAATTTTAAAAGAGGATCTGTCTGAAAAATGATTCTATGTATTAAAAAATCTGCACATACTCACACTAAATTCCAAAATAAGGGTGGGTTAAAACAGCATCTGACAGACTTAAAAGACTAAAACAATAGTGAACACACAGTTTGAAAGGCTTTTGTCAGAAATGATAATTTATTAACCATTCCACTGGAAATGGGAGTGGAATGGAAAATACAAATTTTGCCCATTCATGAAATTCCTAGCAGTTGCGGAAATGTCACTTTAAGTGAAAGAAGGCAAATCACCCACAGCAGTGCACTAGTTTCCACATGCTTGATCTAGCCACAGAAGTTTAGGGTATGCATGCTCGTGGATCGGCAGACTCAATATCATTAAAATGTCTATACTATCCAAACTGATCTACAGATTCAATGCAATACCTATTAAAATCCCGTCATCATTCTTCACAGATATAGAAAAAATAATTTTACGCTTCGTATGGAACCAAAGAAGACCCCAAATATCAAAAGCAATTCTAGGCAACAAAAACAAAATGAGAGGTATTAATATGACAGATACCAAACTAGACTACAAAGCTGTAGTAATTAAATCAATCTAGTATTGGCACAAAAATAGGAATATTGACCAGTGGAATAGATCTGAGAATCCTGATATAAAACCATCCTCATATAGCCATCTAATTTTGGACAAAGCAGACAAAAACATACGCTGGGGAAAAGAATCCCTTTTCAATAAATGGTGCTGGGAAAACTGGATAGCCACTTGTAGAAGACTAAAACAGGACTCACATCTTTCACCTCTCACAAAAATCAACTCACACTCGATAACAGACTTAAACGTAAGGTATGAAACTATTAGAATTCTAGAGGAAAATGTTGGAAACACTCTCCTAGACATCGGCCTAGGCAAAGAGTTTATGAAGAAGTCCCCAAAGGCAATCAAAGCAGCAACAAAAATAAATAAATGGGACATGATGAAACTACAAAGCTTCTGCACAGCCAAAGAAATAGTCATGAAAGTAAACAAACAACCTACAGAACGGGAGAAAATTTTTACATCCTACGCATTTGGATAAGGGGCTGATAACTAGAATATACTTAGAACTCATGAAAATCAGCCAGAAAAAATCAAATAACCCTATTAAAAAGTGGGCAAAGGACTTGAACAGAAACTTTTCTAAAGACAGAAGAATGGCCAACAAACATGAAAAAATGCTCAACATCTCTAATCATCAGGGAAATGCAAATAAAAACCACAATGAGATATCACTTAACTCCAGTGAGAATGGTCTTTATCAAAAAGTCTCCAAACAATAAATGCTGGCGTGGATGCGGAGAGAGAGGAACACTCCTACACTGCTGGTGAGACCGCAAACTAGTTCAACCTCTGTGGAAAGCAATATAGAGATACCTTAAAGCGATACAAGTGGATCTACCATTTGATCCAGCAATCCCATTACTGGGCATCTATCCAAAAGATCAAAAGTCACTTCATGAAAAAGACACCTGCACTCAATGTTTATAGCAGCACAATTCATAATTGCAAGGCTGTGGAAACAGCCCAAGTGCCCATCAATCCAAGAATGGATTAATAAAATGTGGTATATGTATACCATGGAGTATTATTCAGCTCTAAGAAACAACGGTGATATAGCACATCTTATATTTTCCTGGTTAGAGCTGGAACCCATACTACTAAGTGAAGTATCCCAAGAATGGAAAAACAAGCACCACATATACTCACCAGCAAACTGGTATTAACTGAGCAGCACCTAAGTGGACACACAGGTACAAAAGTAATAGGGTATTGGGCAGGTGGGAGGCGGGGCAGGTATATACATACATAATGAGTGAGATGTGCACCATCTGGGGGATGGTCACGCTGGAAACTCAGACTTGTGGGGGGAGGGGAGGAAAGGGCATTTTTTGAAACCTTATAATTTGTACCCCCATAATATGCCAAAATAAAAAAATAAAAAAAAGAAGTTTAGGGTATGGCAGTTGGGGCAGAAGAGACCTCACTTTCCTTTAATGAAGCCGCAGTAGGGGAAAACCTGCAAGACGCTGGAAATTGAGTTCAACAACTTACTCCACAGTTACAGATACACAGTGAAGCAACTACTGAAAAATGTTGTGTCCAGAAAGACCTCTCCTTTCTGAAGTGTAGTAAATGGCAAAATTTAGCCTGGGACCTTTGAAAATAAATACTAAGGGACAAGAAGAAGGAAACATTATCTTGAAAGCTAAAGTCCTTGGGAGGCTTCCATGAAGAGAATAGCTAAAAACCACGAGGACAGAAGGGGTTGAAAAGAAAAGCCACCAGAATGACACAAAATCAGTGGGTAAGGAAGAATTTTAGGGAAACCACGAACTATATATAGTACTGAGATTACAATATATAGCCTAGGAAGAAAGCGTAATCAGTCATGTGAAGACTAAGTGTGAAAAGATTCTGGGAATGGAGAAAAATGAGAGCATGATAGATATAAAAGACAAGGTCTGGAAAGACAAGGTCCAAGCAGCATAATTCACAATTGCAAAGATGTGGAAACAACCAAAGTGCCCATCAATACATGAGTGGATTAATAAAATATGGTATATGTATACCATGGAGTACTATTCAGCTATAAGAAACAACGGTGATATAGCACCTCTTGTATTTTCCTGGATAGAGCTGGAACCCATTCTATTAAGTGAAGCATCTCAAGCATGGAAAAATAAGCACCACATGCACTCACCAGCAAATTGGTATTAACTGATCAACACCTAAGTGGACATATAGGAATAACATTTATCGTGTGTTGGGGAGGTGGGGGGGGAGGGGATGGGTATATACATACGTAATGAGTGCAATGTGGACCAACTGGGGGGGATGGACATGCTTGAAGCTTTGACTCAAGGGGGGAGGGGGGACAAGGGTAATATACATAATCTTAACATTTGTAGCCCCATAATATGCTGGAAAAAAGGAAAAAAGAAAAAAGAAAAGGTCCAACCTAAGAACCTCAAGTGTATTTAAGAGACAAAAAAAGAATTGGAACAAAAGCTAAAATCAAATGAGATAGGATTCCTAAGCTAACAAACACACAACTAGGTACCCAGACTGAAGGGCTAACATGTTTTCTGATAAAAGCAATGAAGAGACTACATGAAAAAATACACTAGCAAAAATTTAAAAATTAAAGCAATACAACTTTAAAAGAATAAGAATTAATAAATATATAACTTTATATTCTATAAAAACCACTTGATACATACTCTAATTTACTAAAATGAATAAGAGAATGGGCAAATTACAGTATGAAAGAAATATTGTTATCATTTTTATTATACTCTAGCCCTTTGCTATTAAATATGGCAGCTGTTAGCCTCATGTGGCTATTGAACATTTGAAATGTGTCTAGTCTGAACTGAAATATACTATAAGTGTATACTACGTACTAGATTTCAAAGACTTACAAGCACAAAAAATTTAAATTACGTAATAATTTTAAAATATTGATTATGTACTGAAATGACAGTATTTTGAATTGACTGGGTTAAATAAAATATTAATTTCACCTTTTTAAAAACTTTTTATAACGTTGCTACTTAAAAATGTAAAATTACATAGGTGGCTAACATTATATTTCTATTAGACAACTCTGATCTTCCATAAGGAAATAAATTAAAAAGAATAATGCTCTATAATGAGCTATTATTAAGTAGCCATTAAAAACTTGAGAAAACATGTTCAACGACAAGGGCAAAAGCTTACAAATAACTATTAGCTATTAGGTGAAAAAAAACAAGACACAAAACAATACCATCTCCACTATGTAAAGAAAAAGAAAAGCAGAAGAAAAATTGAAGACTAAAAATATGCCACAAATGTTTAACAGTGACCTCTGGACGTAGAACTGCAGTGGTGAATTTTAAAAAACACCTTTCTTTTCTTTCCTTTAAAAAACACACACCCATTTCATGTTTTTATAGTAAGCATATATTATTTTTATAAAAAGGAAAAAATTAAAAATTTATCACCACAAATTATCTTGCCCTATTACTTCAACATTTGGGAAAAACAATAACTTAATCTTTAAATTATCTCTGTTTACTAGCCTCTTTGAAAAACAATAAAGTTGTCTCTTGAAATTTAGAAGGATTTTGCTTACCACGTGCAGAACCTTAATCTCACAAGCTACTTGCCAGAGCACACTCAACACGTCATACAAGTTTGAATTTCTATTTGCCGTTAGTTTCTAGAAAAAGGGAAAATAAAAATTACATGTTATATATACTTATAATCAATCAAAATAAAATCTTGGACCTTAATACTAGTATCTTAATAGCATCTAGGAATGTAAGTAAAGAAAATTAGAATTATATACAAAAATGCAGGCAGTGGCATATGCCTGTAGTCTCAGCTATTCTAGAAGCTCAGGCAAGAAGATCGCTTGAAGCCAGAAGTTTGAGAGAAGCCTGGGTGATATAGTGAGACCGAGTCTCAAAAACGAACAAAAAAAGAATTAAATGCCAAATCTTAACCATCCAGAAGTCTTTAAACTTTCATGTTGAAAACATTAGGTCATTAAATATGAAATGCCCAGTTTCAAATCAAAAGGGTAGTTTATTATATTTAAACAAAAAAACAGTACAATTAATCAAAGCATGCACCTAAACTACTGACAGTTTTACCACTTAAAGGTAGCTTGTTTATGCTACCAATGAAGAAGCTTGGAGAGTGAGTGGCGATGAAATTGTGAAAGGTGTTTTCCATAGCTTGTTGAGAATAGAATATTTTTCCTTGCAAGAAGTGGTCCAAAGCCTAGAGGAAGTGGTAGTCAGTTGGTGCAAGGTCTGGTGAATATGGCAGCAGACGGCAAAGAGTTTCTGAGTCCAGCTTCTATAGTTTGAGCAGTGTTGTGAGACATGTGGGTGAGCATTGTCTTGCAAAAGGATTGGCCCATATCTACTACCTATCTCAGCTGCTCAATTGCAAGCATCCTCATCATTTCATCCAATTCATAGCAGTAGACATCCGCTGTAATCAGTTGACCAGGTTTGATGAAGCTGTGGTGGATAATACCAGTGCTGGACCACCAGACACCATTAGCTTTTTTTGATGAATATTTGGTTTTGGACTGTGTTTCAGCACTTCATCTTTACCCAACCATTGTGCTGAATGCTTGCGATTGTCAACAAGAATCCACTTTTCATCGCATGTAACAATACCTGCTGTAGAAATGGATGGCCTTTATGACAGCAGAGAAAGGCAAGCTTCACAATGATGTCTCTTCTGATGCTTGCTTAATTCATGCGGAACCTGTCTATCCAGCTTCTTTACCTTGCTGATTTGTTTCCAATGGTCCAATATTGTTGGAATAGGAACATCGAACCTTGCTATTTCACACGTAGGTTGAGACGGATTCGCTTCCACTATAGCTTTCAGCTCATCATGATCCGCCTTGGTCTCAGATCACCCACATGGCTCATCTTCAAGAATAAAATCACCAGAACAGAACTTCTCAAATCATCCAGGTACTGTGTGTTCATTAGCCACATCCTTCACAAATGCTTCATTGATATTTTGAGCTGTCTATGGCACTGCATTGGTTCCACAACAAAACTCATTTTTGACTTATCCATGGTTTCATAAGCCAAACTGTGTGTTTGAAAGAATGAGGATGTAACTTCAAAATAAAAATAAAATAAGAAGGGTCAAAGTGAAATGTCAGAGATATCAACTGTCAAAACTAGTACTTCAGGAAGTCAAACATTTCATACTTAATAACCTAACATATCATCTTGTACACTTAAAAACGTAATATATTTGAGACTGATTTCCTTTAATCTTATAGCCTATCAGGGCTAAATCTCATTAAAGAACAACTGAATCAAAAACATATATTAGGCCAGGTGGGGTGGCTCATGCCTGTAACCCTAGCACTTTGGGAGGCTGAGGGCCAAGAAGTTCAAGACCACCCTGAGAAAGAGCAAGACCCTGCCCCTATAAAAAATAGAAAAAAATTAGCTGGGCATGGTGGCGTGCACCTGTAGTACCAGGTAATTGGGAGGCAGGACGATTGTTTTAGTCCAGGAGCTTTGAGGTTGCAGTGAGCTATGATGACGAAACTACACTCCAGCCTGAGTGACAGAGCAAGATTCTTGTTTCAAAAAAAAAAAAAAAAAAGTATAACTCATCATTTAGTTATAGAAGTAAACAAAACAAGTAATTTCTATGCTATGGATCCTATAACACAGCAGGTTAGAAAAACATTAGCTAATTATATGAATAATTAACCTGTGGTGTATACTGTGGAAAAGAATAGGTATGTTAGAAGAATGTATCGCATGAGCTATTAAATTTTGAGCCAAGAATTGTTAATGCTGAAGGATGCAAGGTTATTTCAGTGAATGAGAGAGGGGAAACCAGATGTGATAAGGTCCATGGTAAAAGAAGCAAGGGCCATTGGAACATTATCCTAGTAGGAAGATAAAAATCCCTTGAAGCATTTCTGATTTTTCTTCCTTTTATTCCTTTGTTTATACATTATATGTACAGCCTCCTCAAGGTTCTGAGGCTCCTGCTCTCTTTCCATGCCTAGTCAATATTTAGTTACTATATGGGTCTGGGAGTAAATCATCTATTCATTCCTTGCCCTACTATGCTAACCCTTAGCTCTCTTATATACAAGTAAGCATTTCCTATTTTATTGTATTAACAGATTAATAACAGAAAGCATTCTGGGCAGAAAAGAAAGATTACCCTCACAGCAATATTGAAGTCATCAGGAGGTCCTTCCATTACAAAGAATAAAAGGCAGAGTCTAGAATCTTACAGATTCCACAAAAAAATCCCATTAGAACAAGCAAATCCAGCAAAATTGCAGGACACAAAATAAACAAACAAAAATCAATTGTATTTTTATACACCAGCAATGGATAACTGGAAAAACAAATTAGAAAGATAGTTCCATTCACAATAGCATCAAAAATAATCTTAAAAAACCACTAAAAATTAACTTAATCAGGGAGGTGAAAGACTCGTACACTAAAAACTACAAAACATTGCTGAAAGAAATTAAATACACAAATAAATGGAAAGACAGCCGGTATTTACAGATTGGTAATATTGTCAACATTATTCAAAGTGAGCTACAGATTCAATGCAATCCCTATGAAAATCCTAACAATTTTTGAAGAAATAGAAAAATCCGTTCTAAAATTGATATGGAATCTCAAGGAACCACAAATAGCCTAAAAAATCATGAAAAAGAATAAAGTTGGAGGATTCATAGTTCCTGATTTCAAAGCTTACTACAAAGCTATAGTAATAACACAGTGTGGTATTGGCATAGGACAAATATATAGACCAATGAAAGACAAAGAGAGCCCAGAAATAGACCCTCAAATATAAGGTCAAATGATTTCTGGCGTGGATGCCAAAGCATTCAATGTGGGAAAGAACAGTTTTTTCAACAAATAGTTCTGGAAAAACTAGGTCTCTACATGCAAAAGAATGAAGTTGGACCCTTACCTGATACCATATATAAAAATTAACTCAAATGGATCAAAGACCTAAATATAAAAGCTGAAATTGTAACACTTGGAAGAAAACATAGGGGGAAAGGGAAAGCTTTACAACATTAGATTTGGCAATGATTTATTACATATGACAGGAAAGGCACAGCAACAAAAGAAACAAATAGACAAATTTGTCTTCATCAAAATGTACAACTTTGGGCATCAAAGGACACTGTTAATAGGGCAAAAAGGCAACTCAAAGAATGGGAGAAAATATTAGCAAATTACTTATCTGATAAGGGATCAATAACCAGAATATACAAAGAACTCCTAAAACTCAGTAATAAACAAAAAAACCTGATTAAAAAATAGGCAAAGGACTTGAATGGACATTTCTCCAAAGAAGATATACGAATGACTGGTCAGTAAGTTCATGAAAAGATGTTCAACATAACTAATCATTAAGAAAATGCTAATCAAAATTACAATGAAATACTACTTGAGTCAGGTGCAGTGGCACACATATGCAAACCCAGCAACTTGGGAGACTGAGTCAGGAGGATCCCTTGAGCCAAGGAGTTCAAAAGTTTAAATTCAAGAGTTTGAGACCAACATGGACAACATAGTAAGACCCCATCTCTAAAATAAAAACAAGAAAAAAAAGAAAAGAAAAGAGATACCACTTCACACTATTAGGATGGATATTATTTTTAAAAAAAACCTAGAACACAAGTGTTGGTGGGAATGTAAAATGGTGCAATCAGTATGGAAAACATTATGGGTGTTCCTCAAAAAATTAAGAATAGAATTACCATATGATCCAGCAATTCTACTTCTAGATATATACCCAAAAGAACTGAAAGTAAGTACTTTAAGAGATATTTGTAAATTCATGTTCATGGCAGCATTATTCCCAATAGCCAAAAGGTGGAAGCAACCAAGTGTTCATCAATGGATGAATGGATACACAGATTGTGGTGTATACATACAATGGAATATTATTCAGCCTGAAAGAAAAATGAAATTCTGACACATGTTATAATATGAATGAACCTTGAAAACATTACATTAAGTGAAATAAGCCAGACACAAAAGGACAAATACTGTATGACTGCATTTATATGAGGTATCTAGAATAGTCAAATTCAGACAGACATAAAGTAGAGCAATGGTTACTAGGGGCTGGGGGGAGAGGAGAATGGGGAATTAGTGTTTAATGGATATACAGTTTCATTATGGGGTAATAAAAATTTTGGAGATGGGTGGTAGTAACGGTTGTACATTGTGACTGTACACAATGCCACTGAACTTTACAGTTTAAAAACAACCTGAATTAAAGACTGCTCTACAGAAATTTAAAAACAATCTTAGTATTCTCGAATGTCATGAGTACTAAATTAAAATTGCACAGATTTAAACTACTGAGAGAAAAATCACAGAACTCTTTCAAAACAAAAATTAGGTATGTATTAATAACCTACCTGGTATTCTTTTTCACTAATAAACAAATTTAGCTCTATCCGTCCATATCTATATACAGAAGTACAGGCATATAGGTCATATAAAAATTTCCAAAGTGTCCTTCTTTCATTTTTCATTGGGAAAACTCCAATTACTTTTAAAGGAATATCTGTTAGGAATACAAGCAAAAACATTTGAATACCACCTTTTCTTATGAGCATATTTTAGTGAGACAAACTAAGTTAACAGACTACACTAAAGTTTACTTCAAGTAAACTAAGCCTCAGCATCTTTTCCTGATAGGGAACTTGGCCTTTGGGAAAATAAACTGGTTATTTGTGTCCAGGTGAGGGAAATGCCATAGTCACTGTAAAAGCATCCGTTCCCAAACTGTACATTATAAATTGTATGCAAATCTTGTCAACAAATCAGATACACTGCTAAAGAAAGCTGACAAATTACAAGGCATTTGCTTTAGTGAATGAAAAAAATTACCAGCTGACCAAGGACGTGCTTCTATTCCCAAATTCTGAAAAAGCATATGTGAAACCATAATGGGTGGTTTTACTAGTCCATCACTTCTAGGATCGATTTTAAAGAAGTCACAGTGGATAACTTCTAGGCTTCCAAGCAGATTTTTTCGTAAGGACTAAAGAGAGATAGAGATAACATGTTAAAAAAAATTTATCATTAAGCACATTTAGCAACAATTCAAAGACGTACTTTAAAAAATAAGAATAAAATAGCCAATTCAAAGATCTTCTTACAAAAAATATTACCACCTCCATAAAGATGTAAAGAAAATATTACTAACATACCTAAAATTTAACAAAAGAAAGAAAAGTCAATTAATGCCTGAAAAGTAGTGAAAGTACAATAATATTACCCAGCAAAACCCCCCCAAAACAGAAATAACTTTCAACAAATTCTTACTTATCCTTTTATTTTCTTTACTCTTTCATAATGGTTTCAGCTGTGCAAAAAAGCTTCTTCATGCTAATTTCTAATTACTTATTAGTGGTTACTTGGAGCACTGGGCAAAGATTCTGAGACCACAGGTGGGCTTAGGCAGAGAACTTCAAGTCACAGTGGTCAGGAGAAGCAGTAATGGAAGATGTTCCATAGCAGAAAAAGCAATTACAATATTAAAGTGAAAAAGTCAGACAAATTCAAGAGAGTATCTCTCTTTTTTCTAGGGAAATCTAGTCAGTCATCTGCCAAATGGACTTTGCTCATTGTGCAGGTCATTCTCCCTCTTCCCCTTAATTTTTCATTTACTTTTTCTAAAGACAGAGGCAACCACAGACCTAGTCCACTGGAAAAGGTCCAATATACCTCAGTCTTCTCATTGTCCTGATTGCTCATCTCACAGTAGCACTAGAAACCTTAGTAGTTAGGGGAAAGAATTAGCTACAGACTTCATAAACTTAATTTGAAGTTACAAAAAAAATTAGAAGAGGGCAGTATGTTTGTTGTTGCTGTTGTTTATATTCTTCTTTTTAAATTTATATTATCTTTTATTTTTTTTCTTTCCGTTGGATGCCAAGTTCTAAGAGCAGTATGTTTTTCATGTACACTCGAGGTTTCTGTGCACAGAAAATTCTATTAGTATTAAGGTTTAAAATGATTTGGCAATTTAAAGTCATACATTCAAAACATAGTTTTTCTTAAGTATTTGAGTTCAACCTATAAATATTATTCTATTTCTAAATCTAGTAAATCTTAACAATCACTTTCAAGGGAACCTTTTAAAAAGACTAGAGGAAGGGCCTGGCATGGTGGCTCACGCCTGTAATCCTAGCACTCTGGGAAGCCAAGGTGGGCGATTGCTTGAGGTCAGGAGTTCGAAACCAGCCTGAGCAAGAGCGAGACCCGTCTCTACTATAAATATAAAGAAATTAATTGGCCAACTAATATATATAGAAAAAAAAAATTAGCCGGGCATGGTGGCGCATGCCTGTAGTCCCAGCTACTTGGGAGGCTGAGGCAGGAGGATCGCTTAAGCCCAGGAGTTAGAGGTTGCTGTGAGCTAGGCTGACGCCACGGCACTCACTCTAGCCTGGGCAACAAAGCGAGACTCTGTCTCAAAAAAAAAAAAAAAAACTAGAGGAAGGAAAGAAAAGGCTAGGGGTTGGAAATTTGGTCACATTGATTTAGAGATATGTACTATGTGAATAAGGAAGTCAGTAGAGTGGTCCAGACTGAAGAGATAAATTTGTGAGAATTTGGCTTGATGAAGGTAATTTAAGTTAGGCGTGTAGATCCCTAGGGAGAAATACAAGAGACAAGGCCTGAAGATGGAGTAACTCCAAACTCTAATGACAAGAAGCTGAGAATGATACAAGAAAGGAAAAGAGAAAACCAGAAGAATATGGTGTCACCAAAGCTAAAGGAGAAGAGTACTCATGTGATTATCTTTAAACTCAAAAATTTGTCAACATGTATAACATTAAATAATCTCAGAATTTATCAAAGAGAGATTTTAATCTTTGTAATTAAGTAAAGCCAATGAATTTTGTTTTGATGAAAATGTAAGTAAACAATGTATATTTTTTACTTCCTTACACTTGTATTCTGAGAGGGCACCAAAGGTTTTGCTTTAGCGCATCTATCATTAACATTCAACAACAGTTCAAATGTGGTAACAACTAAAGCTCCATGATAAATAATTCAATTCCTATAATAACAGTAAAATCACATTTGAAAATTCAACTAAATTGCATTTAGGATTCAAAAACAAGAAGCCAAAAAAAAAAAAAAAAAAAACAGAGGAAAGGAAAATAACCCCTGAGTTTCTACTAGTCATAAAGTTAAGGCACTTTATTTAAGTTTGTCTGATTTAAATCTCATCAAAATCCCAGAGAGGTGGGTATTAACATCTCTTATTTTGTAGATGAGATAAGCCAAGGTTCAGACTGGTTAAATTACCTATTTGCCCAAGGGTCTCAAAGCTAAGAAGTGCTAGGGCTGAGAGTCACTCTTCTTTGAAAAGACTTTGCTCTATCCCTGCTATAATAAGACTAAGAGTTTAACACAAAAGCTGACATCTCTTCAACTGAACATATATCACTATTTCTGCAACAAGAGTTTCCAAGGATCAAAGGGATATAGCATACCATGATTTACTATATGGAACACAATTAGCAACATTTGTATCCCTAGCCCATCCATATTGGAAAATAAACTATTCCTGCCAGAAACACTGTTCCTGTGGAGTACTAGAAGTTTTATGAGGGAAATGGGGGGAAGAAAGATTCTAAAGTTGGATAGAAATCCAGTCAAGTCTCATCCTTGAAAATCCTTACAGTTTTTAGGAGCAAACTTGAGAGCCTTTAGGTTGCCAGAAGCATTGTCTGATACAAATACCACTTTAAGTCTCCAATTTTGGGCCACAAAGGTTCTATGTATCCATTGTTACTTCTCTTTTATTTTTGCAAATGGATGAATTCATATAAAACCATTTGAATGGCTTTTCAATTTATGTAACAATGGCTAATAAAAATGAAAGAACATGTATTAAGAACAATTTAATGCTGCTAGTGACAAGAAAATAAGTAGAGCAAAAACTAGTTCTAAATCAAAGACTGCATTTAGTCAATAATGTTCAGATTTTTAAGCTTAATCTTATAGCTTCAGAAACACTGTATTACTGATAGCCCTGTAAGAATTACTGTGTCAAAATTTCTCTAGTCCCTAATCCTTTTTAAATTATAACAATTGTTTTTATTTTTATTTTTTGAGATAGAGTCTCACACTGTAACCCTGGCTAGAGTGCAGTGGCGTCATCATAGCTCACTGCAACCTCAAACTCTTGGGCTCAAGCCATCCTCCTGCCTCAGCCTCCCGAGCAGCTGGGACTATAGGTGCATGCCACCACTCCCAGCTAATTCTTGTTTTTCTATTTTTAGTAGTAACAGGGTCTCACTCTTGCTCAGGCTGGTCTAGAACTCCTGAACTCAAGCAATCCTCCTGCCTCAGCCTCCCAGAGCTCTAGGATTACAGGAGTGAGCCACTATGCCCCTGGCTAAAACAACTGTTTTTAAATTCAACTGTTGTTATCTTGAAGATCTTATAGAAAAGCAACTATTATGGTTTAGGATAACCAACTTTAAATAGAAACAAAGACATTTTAATGCCGTCTTAATTTTGTTGTCACCTTCTTTTTTTTAGGACGTGGTCTGGTGTGAACTCCTGGGCTCGAGTGATCCTGTAGCTGGGACTACAGGTGTGCGTCACCAAGCCTAGCCCACTCTGCACTTTTAGATAAAGCCATTCTGGATGATTTAACGAAATTGGCATAGAGAAGATTTATAAAGGAGAAAGGGAGAGAAAGACAAAGAAAAGAGGAGGCTGGCAAATGATACAAGGAATTTTCACTTCTTTACCATTACGTGAACTTGTCTGCTATGTAAGAAGCAGAATCACTGAAAAATCCATCTGGATAACACCTTCACTCTATGATATCGTATCTCACAACAGGTTGAGCATCCCTAATCTGAAAATCTGAAGTGCTTCAAAATCCAAAAAATTTTGAGTGCCAATATGAAATCAAAAGTGGAAAATTCCACACCTGACCTCAGCTGACAAGTTTTAGTCAAAATGTGGGTGCATATTACACAGTTCACTCATGCCAGTTTATAAAATTAGACATTAAAGAGGCAGATGACTCTGGAGGAAACATTTTAAAAAAGCATTCAGCAAAATGCCACCTTATCCCTAGAGGACGAACTTCCTGGACCCTCAACTGCTTCTGATGTTTCTTTTCACCCAAAAAAATTTACAGTATACAGCAATCTTCTGATCAAGACACAGCATTGTAAGTAGAGACTGAAAGCCTGCTGAGGTTTACTGTTGCTGTTGATTAACAGCTAATAAGTATTCTGGTGTTGCTAGTATTCTGTGCTGCTTAGTTAACCTGAACACATATTTTTCACTGTACTAATGGTATGTTTTATTTTTTAGTTAAGTACTTATGTGTAGATAAGCATATAAGAAAATGATTATTTATTGCTAGCACGTAAGTACAGAGTTGAGAATAATGGTATTGGCAAACAACCAAAGATTGTACATGGCTGAGATGGCGACACCTTTGCTTTCTGATGGGTTGATGTGCACAAACTTTTTTTCATGTACAAAACTATTTAAAATATTGGATAAATTACCTTCAGGCCGTATGTTTAAGGTGTATATGACACATAAATGAATTTGTGTTTAGATTTGGGTCCCATCTCCAACATATCTCATTAAGTATATGCAAATATTCCAAAATCTGAAAAAATTCCAAGTCCAAAATACTTTTGGTCTCATGCATGTCAGATAAAGGATACCCAATTTGTATACCAAACCTTTTTTGCCTCTGAAATCCTAAACCCAGAGTTTACATAAACCCATTAACCTAATTTTAGCACTCACTCCAGCTAGATTCCAAACTCACAGAAGGCAGGCTCACAGCATAGCCTATCAGGGATGAGGAAACAAGTCTAACAGTATCAGTTATACACGCTGTTCAGAGCTATTTGACTTGTCTGTAGCAGAGCTAGAACTAGAAAACAAGTCTCAGAACTCCTAATCTTTCTGTCTTTCAGTGAATATTGAATATTTACTGCATTCCAGTTACTGAAGGTAAACAAGATATATAAGACATGGCCCCTAAATGATACTTTATAGTAACTACTTCCCCAAGACACTCAAAGGTAGTTGACTGAACAATAACATACTTTTAGAAACTAAAAATATACCTCCAAATGTGGAATAAATGTTTTGTCGCTTTCAAGGGCAACCACTTTGGCACCATTTCTAAGTAATGCCTGAGTCAGGATTCCAGGACCTAGTATAACAGAACGAAAAGTTTATTTGGAAAAGAAACGACATACACACAAGCTGGAGGACTGAATGAAAAGAAAAAAAAAAAAAAAAAGAAACGACATACATTCTTTAACTTCCATTACATGTCTTACACTGATTATCTAATTTTAAACCTCACAACAACCCCAAAGTAGTTTTTACTCTCCTTTTTACATATAAGGACACTGGACAACTAGAGATTAGGTTTGATTCCAGCATCACAACTAGTAAGTGGTACAGCTTGGCTTTGAAACCATTCTGACAGTGACTGTAAAACTTGCAGTCTTTTTTGTTTTCTATTGCCCAGGTTAGAGTGCCAAAGCGTCAGTGGAGCTCACGGTAACCTCAAATTCCCGAGCTCATGCAAACCTTCTGCCTCAGCCTCCCGAGTAGCTGGTACTACAGGCATGCACGACCATGCCCAGCTAAGTTTCTCTCTCTCTACATATATATATGTATATATTTTTTTTTTTTGAGACAGAGTCTCGCTTTGTTGCCCAGGCTAGAGTGAGTGCCATGGCGTCAGCCTAGCTCACAGCAATTGGCTTTGAAACCATTCTGACAGTGACTGTAAAACTTGCAGTCTTTTTTGTTTTCTATTGCCCAGGTTAGAGTGCCAAAGCGTCAGTGGAGCTCACGGTAACCTCAAATTCCCGAGCTCATGCAAACCTTCTGCCTCAGCCTCCCGAGTAGCTGGTACTACAGGCATGCACGACCATGCCCAGCTAAGTTTCTCTCTCTCTACATATATATATGTATATATTATATATTTTTTTTTTTTGAGACAGAGTCTCGCTTTGTTGCCCAGGCTAGAGTGAGTGCCATGGCGTCAGCCTAGCTCACAGCAACCTCAAACTCCTGGGCTCAAGCAATCCTCCTGCCTCAGCCTCCGAGTAGCTGGGACTACAGGCATGCGCCACCATGCCCGGCTAATTTTTTGTATATATTTTTAGTTGGCCAATTAATTTCTTTCCATTTATAGTAGAGACGGGGTCTCGCTCTTGCTCAGGCTGGTTTTGAAATCCTGACCTCGAGCAATCTGCCGCCTCGGCTCCCAGAGTGCTAGGATTACAGGCGTGAGCCACCACGCCCGGCCTTTTTTTTTTTTTTTTTGAGACAGAGTCTCACTCTGTTGCTCAGGCTAGAGTGCCGTGACATCAGCCTAGCTCAGAGCAACCTCAAAGTCCTGGGCTCAAGTAATCCTTCTGCCTCAGCCTCCCGAGTAGCTGGGGACTACAGGCATGAGCCACCATGCCCGGCTAATTTTTTCTATATATTTTTAGTTGGCCAATTAATTTCTTTCTATTTTTAGTAGAGACAAGGGGTCTCGCTCTTGCTCAGGCTGGTTTTGAACTCCTGACCTTGAGTGATTCACCCGCCTCGGCCTCCCAGAGTGCTAGGATTACAGGCGTGAGCCTCCGTGCCTGGCCAAAACTTGCATTTTTTTTTTTTTTTTTGAGACAGAGTCTCACTCTGTTGTCCAGGCTAGAGTGAGTGCCGTGGCGTCAGCAGCTCACAGCAACCTCAAACCCTGGCTCAAACATCCTTCTGCTCAACCTCCGAAGTACCTGGACACGCAAGCGCCACCATGCCGGCTAATTTTTTTTATATATATTATTGGCCAATTAATTTCTTTCAATTTTTACAGTAGAGACGGGTCTCGCTCTTGGTCAGGCTAGTTACGAACTCCTGACCTTGAGCGATCCACCCGCCTCACCTCCCAGAGGCTAGGATTACAGGCGTGAGCCACCGCGCCCGGCCTCCAAAACTTGCAGTCTTAATCACAATGTTTCATTACCTCGTGGAAGAAAATAAAAGGGTTTTCTTTAGCCCAACAAAAGGGTTGCCTTTAGCCTACCACATACTCATGGAATATCTGGATGCTTTAAACATCAAAGATATTGTCAAGCATAAACAGGACTGACTGTCCATGATAGGAAATAGTGCTTTAGAAAATTATTACTCAAAGATTCTATAAATTTTGTGTTCTCAGATCCTGTTATGGTTTTTAGGAGATGCACGGAAGGATATGATAAAATTATATTTTTTAGAGGGTGGGGCTTGAATTATTTTGAGGAGATGATGAAATCTAAGAGCATGTGTTAGCAAAAGATTGTGTAAAGTGCAAATTGCTACAGAAATATTTTGTGATGACATTATCAAAACAATCTCTCCAATTAAGGGCTTGAAGGAAAGGGCAGTGTCTTAAAAAGCATCCCAGGGTGACCAATACAAATCTGCAGAAGTGATGAACATCCAAGAAAATGCAATGCAGCTGGACTCACCTGGATTGCACTCCAGGAGTAGGTGACGAGGTCTTTCTCGTTTCCCCGTAGGATTTTCGCCACGGTCTCGGCCAATCTCCGACTGGTTACGTAGCGCTTAGGCTCTGAGCGCCACTTGGACACCGAAGAGGGATTCGTTGAAATCCGGATAGGTAACGGCTGCGGGTAGGAGTCGGAGAAGCCTCGGTGGTTCTTCGCCGGCAAGTGCTTTCGCGTCGACGCCGCAAATCCCCAAATGCAAAAGCGACCGGCGCCCGCCAAGGCTGAAAGCTTCAGCGCGGAGGAAGCCCCGCCACTGGTACCACATGTCCTCGCCTCTAAGGCCATCAGAGATCACACAGGGTCGCTACTTCGGTGAACCCCAAGCTGGGTATTCCACGTGCAACATTTCCTTGCAACTGACCCGGCCCGGCGGAAGTAAACACTACAAAGCGCGCATGTGACCAACCAATCTCTTGTGCTTTTCTGCCTCACTTCCGCTTCCGTCCTGGCTCAGGGCCCAAGGATTGTGAGTGGCCTAATGAGGAGAGAGACAGACCATCCGGGTTGTGTCCGGGCTCGCACTCTATGGTTGTCGCTCTCTGCGCTTCCTCTCTAGCCGCTCGTGCTCTATGCTCCGCGGTCGCGGCGCCTGCCGCCAGCGGCCAGTCGCGAGGGTGCGCAGAGGGAGGCGGGCGAAAGGCTAGAGGTGTCTCCTCCACGGGAGCCGCGGAGACCCGAGCAAGCTCTGTGACAGCACGTCGCCGCCATGTCAGAGATGGGACTGGAAAGAGACCTGGCGCCCAGCGGTAGCCCCTTTCGCCTCCGATTCCAGGTGAGAGACGAAGAGCGAATGCGGGGACCGCCGGCTCGCGGCGGGGACGGAAAGCCTTTCGGGAGCCCCTCGCATCTCTCTCTTTTGAGACAGAGTCTCACTCTGTTGTCCAGGCTAGAGTGAGTGCCGTGGCGTCAGCCTAGCTCACAGCAACCTCAAACTCCTGGGCTCAAACGATCCTTCTGCCTCAACCTCCGAAGTACCTGGGACTACAGGCAAGCGCCACCATGCCCGGCTAATTTTTTCTATATATATTAGTTGGCCAATTAATTTCTTTCAATTTTTACAGTAGAGACGGGGTCTCGCTCTTGGTCAGGCTAGTAACGAACTCCTGACCTTGAGCGATCCACCCGCCTCAGCCTCCCAGAGTGCTAGGATTACAGGCGTGAGCCACCGCGCCCGGCCTCCAAAACTTGCAGTCTTAATCACAATGTTTCATTACCTCGTGGAAGAAAATAAAAGGGTTTTCTTTAGCCCAACAAAAGGGTTGCCTTTAGCCTACCACATACTCATGGAATATCTGGATGCTTTAACCATCAAAGATATTGTCAAGCATAAACAGGACTGACTGTCCATGATAGGAAATAGTGCTTTAGAAAATTATTACTCAAAGATTCTATAAATTTTGTGTTCTCAGCATCCTGTTATGGTTTTTAGGAGATGCACGGAAGGATATGATAAAATTATATTTTTTAGAGAGTGGGGCTTGTAATTATTTTGAGGAGATGATGAAATCTAAGAGCATGTGTTAGCAAAAGATTGTGTAAAGTGCAAATTGCTACAGAAATATTTTGTGATGACATTATCGAAACAATCTCTCCAATTAAGGGGCTTGAAGGAAAGGGCAGTGTCTTAAAAAGCATCCCCAGGGTGACCAATACAAATCTGCAGACGTGATGAACATCCAAGAAAATGCAATGCAGCTGGACTCACCTGGATTGCACTCCAGGAGTAGGTGACGAGGTCTTTCTCGTTTCCCCCGTAGGATTTTCGCCACGGTCTCGGCCAATCTCCGACTGGTTACGTAGCGCTTAGGCTCTGAGCGCCACTTGGACACCGAAGAGGGGGATTCGTTGAAATCCGGATAGGGTAACGGCTGCGGGTAGGAGTCGGAGAAGCCTCGGTGGTTCTTCGCCGGCAAGTGCTTTCGCGTCGACGCCGCAAATCCCCAAATGCAAAAGCGACCGGCGCCCGCCAAGGCTGAAAGCTTCAGCCGCGGAGGAAGCCCCGCCACTGGTACCCACATGTCCTCGCCTCTAAGGCCAGCCTCAGAGATCACACAGGGTCGCTACTTCGGTGAACCCCAAGCAGGGTATTCCACGTGCAACATTTCCTTGCAACTGGACCCGGCCCGGCGGAAGTAAACACTACAAAGCGCGCATGTGACCAACCAATCTCTTGTGCTTTTCTGCCTCACTTCCGCTTCCGTCCTGGCTCAGGGCCCAAGGATCGTGAGTGGCCTAATGAGGAGAGAGACAGACCATCCGGGTTGTGTCCGGGCTCGCACTCTATGGTTGTCCGCTCTCTGCGCTTCCTCTCTAGCCGCTCGTGCTCTATGCTCCGCGGTCGCGGGCCGCCTGCCGCCAGCCGGCCAGTCGCGAGGGGTGCGCAGAGGGAGGCGGGGCGGAAAGGCTAGAGGTGTCTCCTCCACGGGAGCCGCGGGAGACCCGAGCAAGCTCTGTGACAGCACGTCGGCCGCCATGTCAGAGAGTGGGACTGGAAAGAGACCTGGCGCCCAGCGGTAGCCCTCCTTTCGCCTCCGATTCCCAGGTGAGGAGACGAAGAGCGGAATGCGGGGGACCGCCGGCTCGCGGCGGGGACAGAAAGCCTTTCGGGAGCCCCTCGCTCCTCCCCCTGTGCTGTCCTCCTCCAGCAGCGCCGCCTCTGCCTTCTCGGTTAGGTGTAGTCGGGTTCCCTCACCTCCGCCCCCTCTTGGGTCTCCTGTTTTCCTCTCTTTTCTCCAGCCACGGCGGGTCGCCTATACCTGTGCATCGCGCCAATTTCTCCCTCCCTAGGGGACTAGCGCCAGAAGTCGTTCCTCATCCGGCTCCCTGAGCAGCCTGCGGCTGCCCCTGTGTCTCTATTCTATTCTGTTCTGTCCTGTCCTGTTGCCCACAGCTCGGTCTCTCCACCCTTGTGGGTGGTGTTCATTTTCCCCTCGTGCCTGGTCCCCCCACCATTACCACTTTGGTTGTCAAAATCCAACTGGTGTCTCTCTTTCGTTGCTCCTTCTGGGCCAATATTTACTTTAATTTTTCATTTTTAATTTGTGTTTGAAACACTTAAAATTAAGATTACAAAATTAAGATGTAGAAGTTTAAAATTCCTTGCTAAACGTAAAAAAATTAAGACCTTTGAATGCTTATTTTATCCCCTGTATAAACTTAGTCAAACACATTGTACTGTGGAATGCGATTTAAAAAGCAATCCCAAAGACTAAAAATAGGATGCAGTAATGGAAATTTTGGCAGTCTTTTTACCTATTGGACAATGCTAGAAGACCCGATTCTTTGAGAGTGATTTTAAAAGAAATCACTGTGTTTGACAATCATACTAAGAAAGCTTTACCCATTATCCTTTCTACGAAGGCAGGAACCTGCAGCCAATCAACTCCCTGTTTTAAAATATGTACAATCCTTTCTGCTTACTCTACTGGGAACGTAATTGAGCTTGGCATTTAAGTGCACAAGGAAAGGTTTCTAAGGAATGTATTACCTAACAAATAGTCTGAAGATTATACTCAGCTGATGAAACTCAAACAGATAAAGAATTGACAGACATGCTTGGTCTTTTTTGTATAATAAGTTTGTTAGGGCACCACAAAAGCTATCTGTTGTAGAAGCCCTGGGGACTCACTCATTGCTCTTAATGTCCTTAAATCCTTTTAAAAATAGTTTCTTCGTTGATAATTTTCCAGAAGTGAGTTTTCCATCCTCTAAACACCTGAGAAAGGCCCCCCAGCATCCTTTACTGAGCTTCCTCACCTTAAAAAACATTTTCATATATTCAGAAATACACTGGATTTTTTCCCCAAGAGCCCTGGAAGCATAAATACTTTAAAATCAAATAAAACAGAATGATGCTTTATGGTAGAGAGAGGACATGATTCACCCATAGAAATGTGTTGTTGAACGTCTCGCTTTTAAAATATACTTTTTTGGCCGGGTGTGGTGGCTCACACCTGTGATCTTAGCACTGTGGGAGGCCTAGGCCAGAGGATTGCTCAAGGTCAAGAGATTGAGACCAACCTGAGCAAGAATGAGACCCCCTGTCTCTACTAAAAATAGAAATTAATTGGCCAACTAAAAATATATATAGAAAAAATTAGCTGGGCATGGTGGCACATGCCTGTAGTCCTAGTTACTCTCGCTTGAGCCCAGGAGTTTGAGGATGCTGTGAACTCGGCTGATGCCACTGCATTCTAGCCTGGGCAACAGAGTGAGACTCTGCCTCAAAAAAAATGAAAATAAAAAATATATATATACTTTTTAAAAACATTGTGGTAAAAAAAAAAAAAACCCAGTAAAATACCCCTTCTAATTTCATAATGTCTGGACCAAAGTTAGCCTACTCTGTTCTAGAGAAACTGATGTCGTTTTTTATTTTGCTTTTGAGTGGTATTATTTTCTTTTGGTTTTGGGAAAGAGAATTAGGTTATAATTATTCCCCTTTTTATAGTGTTAATGATTCACTTGTTTGTGGGTAAAGGTGCTTGAATAATAGAATCTTCTACATCTTATTTTTCTGAAGTCCCAGGTGCTGGAAGCGAAAGAAATGTCCATTTCACTTTAAAGATGAACCTTATAATCAATATTTAGATTTGCTTTATTAGAAGAACTTAGTGTACAGTATTTCCATCTTATTAAGAGGTGTGGTTTTGTATCCTATGCTATTTTTGCCTTTTTGAAGTAATCTTTCTTCAAAGTGATGCCAGAATGAAGTGATTCTGCTGATGATTTTTATAATCTTTTAAAGTTATTTTTCTTATTAAGGTATCTAAATTAGTGGAGAAGGGAAAATACTGCTTTTTTATTTTGGCTTTTAAACGACAATTGGGAAATGCCAAGTGATAATTCTTGTTTGCTATCAGAATTAAGGCCGTATGACTACAGCAGCACTGTTCAACAGAAATGTAATAGAAGCCACTTAAGTAATTTAAAATTTTCTAGTAGTTACCTTAACAAAGTAAAAAGAGACAGATAAAGTTAATCTTAATAATATATTTTATTTAATCCTATATATGTCATTTCATCATGAAATCAATTTTAAAAGTTAATGAGATATTTTACATTATTTCATATTAATTCTACAGAATCTGGTGTGAATTTTATACTTAGAGCACATCTCAAATTGGATTAGCCACATTTCAAGTGCTCAGTAGACACATGTAGCTAACAGCTACCTTTTTGAGCAGCCATGTAGCTATAGAATTGCCATGTAATGTTTATGATACCTTTCTACCCTGAGAGTCTGATTCTATGGAGTAAATTTAAAACTCCTCATCCTGTAGTGCTGTGATATTCAAATTGAGAAGTTCCTATGCAGGAAGAGAGTTCCAAGAAGTCTCTTCCTGTTAGTGTTGACTGTGTTAACATTGAGCTCCATGCTTGTTTTGTCTGCACTGGTGCCCTGTGTTTGTTTAGTGAGAATCATAAGATGAATAGAGTGCTCAGTCATTTCCTGAGGTGTCATTGTTACAGTTATTTACATTTGCGTGTCAACAGTGTGTCAAAGCATTGTGTGAGTCTTTGTCTACAAAATCTTTCCGCCTTACATAGGGAGAACTTGACCTACAAACAAGAAGATTGAACTTTATTGTGAACAGGTAGAGTACAGACTTATTTTCTGAATCAGTTTCAGGTATGGTTAAAAGTTTTGTAAATGTTTATATCATGGTGTTTCTTATCGAAGAAAAGATAAAATCTTTTAGCAAAGTTTAGAAAGGGAAAGTGTATGTTTTATGGCTCTAGAACACTGGGAACCTGAGTAGAGCAAAAGAGTAACTTGTATGTGGTGCTTTAGGGAGAATTTTAAAGGAAATATGGCAGTTTTTTATAAAGTTACTGCTTTAAGTTATTTTTGCAACAGGGGTGGTGATTTGCATGGAACCATCCCTGATTCAGAGCTGATATAACTGAAAGATAACTCTGAAGCCAGCTGTGTTCAGTGAGGATTAGTCAGATCCATCATTGTTTCTACCTTGACCCTTGTGCTCTAATAAACTTCCCTAACTTTAGCTATAGTGTGCTACATTTACATTTAATGTCAAAATTAGCCTGATGGCCTAATTAATATTCAGTGTAATTTAATATGAGAAACCTGCCCTCTTCCCAACCTTTTTGGTATTATATAAAGAAATTTTAAATTACCTGATCAGTAAACAAACTCCCAATGTAAAATCTAATCATTATAGACCTGGCATGGTGTAGGTATTATATGGAGTATTAGAGGATCAAAAACAGTGGGGGAAGGGATACAGTTATTGGGTGTTGCTTGTTTCATGAGAGAGATGTGCACATTCTATAGGAAAATAACAGAGTTTTCACTATATTTAAAACTAGATTGCTGGCCGGGCGCGGTGTCTCATGCCTGTAATCCTAGCACTCTGGGAGGCTGAGGCAGGAGGATTGCTTGAGCCCAGGAGTTTGAGGTTGCTGTGAGCTAGGCTGACGCCATGGCACTCACTCTAGCCTGGGCAACAAAGTGAGACTCTGTCTCAAAAAAAAAAAAAAAAAACAAACTAGATTGCTGTCTATTGGCACCATTTTAGTTGAATAAGAAAGAAAATGCATTGTTTGGTTCTAACAAATTAGTCTTAGCAAATTTATTTTAGGTATTTGAGGAAGAGTAATTGATAATCAGGCAGTTTTCAATTTTTAAAAAAACCCCAATAAGGTTTAAGTGGCCTCTAAAAGGATTATGTGCTTATTGAGAAATTCTAACTTATTATATATTTCTTCATACTGTTATGTACCATCCTCTCTAGTTTAGGACCTTCAAGATTCACATGAATGCAGGTTTTCCTTTATTTTGGAATCATTCCCATAGGGGAAATTATATTTCTTTTTAACCAGGGAATACTTTGTTTTTCAAACATTTGAAATAATTTATTTGTAATATTCTTCAAAGAAATTCATCATTTAGAGAATTCTGAAGTCTTACAATAGCTTGAGATTTCTTCAGTTGTTTTTGTCTGAGTTTTGACATTCTGCTCTTTAAGATGTGTGGAGATAGAAACTTTTTGCCATTATACCACCTAACCCTGCCGTGTCTTAGGACTTCAGTTTTTCATCATCATTAGCTATGTGGAAAGGAAAGACAGTGTGTACCTGTCAAAATACTGACAATTCAATATTATTTTTCCTTTTAGATTCTCTAGGAAGAATTCTGAAATAATTTGTGGTAAATTTAGTCACCCTTATTAATTTATTTAAAATAGAGATGGGATTTTACCATGTTGCCCAGTCTGGCTTTGAACTCCTGGGTTCAAGTGAGCCTCTTGCCTCAGCTGGGACTACAAACTCATGCCACCATACCCCGTTAGTCACCTTTTTTGACATTTAAATTGATAGTATCTAGGTGATTATAGGAATTAATATTGTTTTGTAATTGTCACATCTATTAAATTCTCTTATGAGAATAGTTGCCCTGTTTTTCCTGAAAAACCACTACCTGATTAAATAATTAAATTTTGTTTCTATGTTAGCTGCATTTTGAAAACTCAGTGAATTAGGTGGCTGTGGTTTTCTAACTTGAATGAAGACAAAGTAACCTTTAAAAATACTTTTTGTAGAGCCCAGGCATTCAAAGCTGCAGTGAACTATGATTTGGCCACTGTACTCCAGCCTGTGCAATAGAGTGAGATCCTGTCTCAAAAACAAAAAACAAACAAACAAAAAAGAAAGAAAGAAAAGAAAATTTTTTTAAAATAATTTATTCTAAAGGGTCTGAAAAAATACTTTTTATATTATAAATTTTGAAATAAATAATTTTCGGCCGGGCGCGGTGGCTCACACCTGTAATCCTAGCACTCTGGAGGCAGAGGTGGGTGGATTGCAGAGGTGGGTGGATTGCTCCAGGTCAGGAGTTCGAATCCAGCCTGAGCAAGAGCGAGACCCCCGTCTCTACTATAAAGAGACAGAAATTAATTGGCCAACTAATATATATATAGAAAAAATTAGCCGGGCATGGTGGCGCATGCCTGTAGTCCCAGCTACTCGGGAGGCTGAGGCAGTAGGATTGCTTTAACCCAGGAGTTGGAGGTTGCTGTGAGCTAGGCTGACGCCATGGCACTCACTCTAGCCTGGGCAACAAAGTGAGACTCTATCTCAAAAAATAAATAAATAAGTAAATAAATAAAATAATTTTCTTAAAATTTGTGAATTTTATGATAGGATAAAATGCTACTGTTCTTGGGTATTTGAGAGGATACTGCTTATATTTTGATTTTATGTATGCATTGTCCCTGCTCGTTTGTCTTTCTTCTGCACGAATTATAACCATTATACAAGAAAATCTTAAGAACTTTTACATAAATTGAAAAATATTGCCTAAGATTTTTCAATGAGGATTTATTTTTGTGAAAATGTGTTTTATTTATTGAAGGCTAGTGGAGTTTTTTTTATTTTTACCTATGAAGCAATGAAGATTATTTTAGATTTTTTTTCCACCTGTGAAACATGAAAAAGGTTTACTTAAATTGAGTCTTTTAAGGATTCATACAAAGTAACCAACACGATTTGCTCCCTCAGCTTCAACTCAGATGAAGAGTGGAAGTTTGTACAAATTATGCTGATTAGAATATTATGAACTTCAGTTTCCTGAAAAAGTCATTATTTATACCTGTTTATGACACCTTAACTCCAACTCAGCCATCATCAGGCATTATTTTCAGCAATTTACAAAGTAATCCCTAGATTCTTTTTGTTCCAACTATTTAAAAAAAAATGTTGTGAAGTTTATTGCCATGCCAATTAGGGTGTTTCTGTAGCGCTAGGTAAGCACTGAAAAGAGCCAAAATTAGAAGTAATGTCAGGTGTCTTCCCTATTTTGATCATATAATAAATATTTTGTGACTAGGAAAAGATAGTTTGTCTTATTAGTGTTGCATTTGAATGTTAGCTTCAAAATTCATCTGATAGGTTGTATAGTCACCAAAGCTCATCTTTTCACTAGCCAGAGAAAGATCTATTTCAGAATAACCTAAAGTAAAAGAGCATTTAATTCCAGAGGTTAGTTATTCTTCTGGTGGCCTCTTGGTTGATTGTAGCTTGATACATTTTGATGACTACAGGCTTTTTTTATCCCTCCTTTCTCAGCTGTGTACCTGAGGAAAAAACAGGGATTGCTAAGTGAATGCCAACAGGGCTTTGACCTTTGTGTGTGGCTGGCATTCCCTGAAAGCCTCAAGGAGTATTCCTCTGTGTGCAAAAAAAACAGCAAAAAATCTGCTCCAGGAACCCTTATTTAGGCTGAGGAAACATACTGTAAGAATGTCTGTTTTATAACTAAAGCTTCCATGTACTTCTTTAACACTATGTATAAAGCCATGTACTCTCTATAGCTTTTGGTAGAGAGTTTCCATTTTCTTCTTGCTTTTCAGAGTAAGTGAAAAAATATACTCAAAATATCTGCCTTCCCTCACCTTTTAAATTTTTTCCATGGAAAGCTGATAGGTCAGAATAGGTCATATTTTATTATAAACTTGAAGGGTGGGGTAGGAGTACAAATCTTATTCTTTCCCTCTTTCCTTTTTTTCTTCCCTATTACAAACATAGGCTAGGCTCAGTGGCTCACATCTGTAATCCCAGCATTTTGAGAGGCTGAGGTGGGAGGCTCAGTTGACACCAGGAGTTCAAGACCAGCCTGGGTAACATAGTGAGACCCCATCTCTACAAAAAATAAAAAAATTAGCCAGCTGTGGTGCTGAGCACCTCTAGTCCCATTTGCTCAGGAGATGGAGGCAGGAGGATCCCACTTGAGCTCAGGAATTCTAGGCTGCAGTGAGCAATGGCTGTGCCACTGCACTCTAGCCTGGGTGACATAGCGAGACTGTGTCTCTTGGGGGGAAAAAAGTAGAAATAACCCAAATGTCAATTAATTGATGAGTGGATAAATAAAATATGGTATATTTATGCAATGGAATATTATTTGGCAATAAAAAGAAATGAAGTATTGATATATAGTACAACGTAGATGTACCCTGAAAATATGCTAAGTGAAAGAATCCAGTTACACTTTTGCAAGATTCCATTTATATGAAATGTCCAGAATAGGTAAATCCATAGAGACAGAAAGTGGATTAGTAGTTTGAATAGTTGCCTAAGGCCGGGGTGGGGGCACAGGAGAATGGGAAGTGACTACTAGTGAGTAGTATCTGGGTAACATGTTCTAGAATAGATTGTTATGATAGTTGTCCACAACTTTGTGAATATACATTAAAAACCATTGAATTGTACATTTTAAATGGGTGAATTGTATATGAATTATATCTCGAAGCTGTTACTAAAACACAATTGGAAAAAATGAATATTTATCATAAAACTGCATAAAATACAGAGAAGTACAAAAAGAAAAGTAACTAATTAGAATTTTTTAATTCCCCATTTTCATTTCAATTAAGTAAAAGTAACTTATGCCAAAAGAAAACAATAGAAAATTTATTCAAGATCAAGACTGACACCCTAAAACAACATTCTCATGTGGTATTTCCTAAGGTTACAGATTTCTGAGTAGTCAATAGAGAAAAATGGTAGGGGAGTTGGGGCAGCATGTACCCATGATAAGTAGGGGTGCTGAACTCAAAAGAACCTGTGTAGTCACTGT